TTGTGTCTCCTTGGGTGTGCGCTAATTGGGACTTGAGTTGGGGTCCTTTCTGGGTCCTTACAACACCATATGACAAGACCCTAAAAGGGGTAGGGAAGAGGGGAGGGTGGGGCTTCTCCACTGTCCTCCCTCTTTTTGGCAGGATAGGAAGTGAAAGATAGTCATGAGAAGTACACTAGGAGTTGAGCCCAGAACACCCCAGCGTACTCTACCATAGACTCTACCTAAAACTCAATTTCGGTGCTTGTTTTAATACTTAGTTTCCCCTTTAAGTATATAATGCTAATATATACTACTTACAAAACATGTGAAAATAAAGATGTATTAGCAATTACCAACATACCTTTGTCATTAAAAGTTATAAACTTTTTAGATTCAGTGGTTGTGGTACACACCTTTAATCCCAGCACTTCGGAGGCAGAGGCAAATGATCTCTGAGTTTAAGGCCAGCCTGGTCTACACTGTAAGTTCCAAAACAGCCAGGGCTACACAGAGAAACCCTGTATCAGAAAAAAAGAAAAAAGAAAAAAAAAAAACGCACTTTTAAAAGAAGGGAAAGACAAAGGTGGTTAAGACAATTGCTAGCAGCTTTATTCCTCTAATAAAAAGCCTGGGAAAAAAAAAACGTAATGGAATACAGCAAGAATATGGAAACAGAAGTTAAAAAAAAAAATACCACAATCATTTGATATAGCATTTGACATTACAACACAAAATAGATGCCTTTCATAAATCCTCTGATCTTCACGCATGAAGCAATTTACCATGCACTGACATCTCTGTCGTCCTCAAGGCTCTGCCTCAGCAGCAGCCCTGGAGATTTACTATCTGTGATGACTCAATGGCTCCTTGAAGGTATACTCTAATTACCTGGCCACATCTGCCTCAAATACAGACACCACATGCCTCAACTTCCAGAGTATCTACAAAACTTAAGTGATTTGGGGGTTTAAATTATAGACATCAGGAAAATATATATGTATATGTATATGTATGTACATCATATACATATACATATACATATACATATACATATACATATACATATATATCCATCCCCAGGGAGATATAGATATAGGTATATTAGGTATAGATGGATAGATGGCTATATATGAATATATACATACATATATATGGATGTATATTCTACATAGTAGTTTATAATCTTATGTTACCTTCCAATATGTTGTGGAAAAGGGATAGTACATGTAACACATATATAATTATAACCAATTGACATACTTACAATAAAGCAAATTGAAGCAAATTAACCTTTTTACTTTTGAAAAGATTTATTCTTTATTATGTGTATATATATATATGTGTGTGTGTGTGTTTAAATATAGGTGTCCTCAATGGTCAGAAGCATCATATTTCCCGGAGCAAGGATTACAGGTCTGACACCCGATACAGAAATCAAACTCGAGTCCTCTCCAAGAGTAATACATATTCTTAACCACTGAGCCATTTCCCAGTCCCAACTTTTGCACATTTGATGTACAATAAAATGAAAAATATCTGAACTTTTTAATTAAAAGTCTTGAGATAATTAAAAAAGCCAAATTCTGAGACTTAGGATGGATCTATTGGTAGGCTAGCAAGCCTGGGGCTTGACCTTCAGCACTCCATAAAAACCAGGCTTTGTAGTACAAACCCATAATCCCACCACTCTGGAGCCAGGAGCATCTTACACTCAAAGTTATCCCCAACTACATAGTGAATTCAAGAGCAGCCTATCATACATTCGATCTTAGTAAATAGTGTTATTTTTAAAGGGGGTGGTCTAGACATGTAAACAGTTGATAGAGCGTTTTGTTTGCCTACCATAAACGATTCCCAGGAACTCATGAACTGGGTAAACCAGCACTTTACTGAATCCCAGCACTCAAGAAGTGGAGACAGGATAGTAACAAGTTCAAAATCACCCTCCCAAGTCAGACCAAAGCATGAGACCCTATCTCAACAGAAGAAAAGAAAAACAAAACAAAAATCTACTTAAATGTGAAGCCATTGTTCTTACAGTTATTTTAGAACTTTGCTATAGCAGAAGGAATTTAACAAACTTACAGTGTTTACAAGATGAAATAAAGGAATCTGGAACAGTATGGTGGCGCATACCTGCAATCCCAGCATTTGGTAGGCTGAGGAAGATGGATCAAGAGGTGAAACCCAGCCTATATAAGATCCTATCTCTGAATGAATAAATAAGTAAATAAGTGTAAATGTGTGTGCGTGTGTGTGTGTATTAAAAGAGCTATTCATATTTGTGTCAACTGCCAAGCCAAATGGAATATGATTATATATGCTAATCATAGGCAGCTTTAAGCTTATTAAAATCAACTTTGTCTTTCAATTAATTTATAGCTCATTTTAAAACACAGAGCATTCTTAATTCAAGCTATACCAGCACTGGCCTACATTTAAAATTGAAACAGAATCTGAAAACAAAAGAGTTCAACAGACACAAGATTAATCTTTGTAACTAAAATTAAAATTTCCACAAACAATTTACTAAGGCAAGATTTCACAAGTTCAAGGGTGAAACAAAACACATGCTAACTGAGTGGTTTTCAACCAGTTGGTCACAACCCCTTTGGGGTGGACTCAACCAACCCCTTCACAGGGGTTGGCTAAGACCACAAGAAAACACAGATATTGATCAATTCATAACAGTAGCAAAATTACAGTAGCAATAAAAATCATTTTATGGTTGGGGGTCACCACAACATGAGGAACTGTATTAAAGGATCACAGCATCAGAAAGGTTAAGACCCAGAGAGCTGTTTAGAATTGATCTTTTCGGTTAACTCATCTAATTTGTATGTCAATTAAACACAATCTGTTCTGTCACCTAAGTTAGCTACTGGTCAAGTGAAAGACTTTTAAAGGTCAGTGTTTTGTCTTTTTGTTTTAAGTATTTAAAGGATACATATACAGCCTATGCCAGGATAATGGAGTCAGAAGAAAAATAAGTTGGTACACATTTCCAAGTTTTGCCTTAGGAAAATAAGCTAACATACTTAGCAGCAGGCACAGAAGCTAAAAGAATAAGCTACACCTGTACACCTATACACAAAATGATTCTTCCTCTGTGATCATACTGACCAAGTCCACCCAGACAGAAATAAAAGGCAACAACTGCTCAAGGCAAAGACCAAATTCCAGACCACAGAGGTCTGAAACGCCCCTGTGGCTCTGCTCAGGTTCAGTTCAGTTTCTATGTCTGTTTTTAGATCTCACAGACCTGAACGAATGGTACTGTCTTCCTCTGGATTTTCATGGGTGTGGTGGTTTGAATATCCTTGGCCCACGGGAAATGGCACTATTAGGAGGTGTGGCCTTATTGGAGGAAGTATATCACTGTGTGGGAGGGCTTTGAGGATTCCTAGTGCTCAAGCTTCACCCAGTGTGGAAGAGATAGTCTTCTCCTGGCTGCCTTCAGATTAAGACTCTCAGCTCCTTCTTCAGCACCATGTCTGCCTGCACAATGCAGTGCTTCCTGCCATTTTGATAATGGACTGAACCTCTCAAACTTTAAGACAGCCTCAATTAAATGTTGTCCCTTATAAGAGTTGCCTTGGTCATGGTGTTTCCTCACAATGGAAACCCAAACTAAGACAATGGGATTGCCTCAAAACTTCAACTTCCTTTTGCTTGTACTCAACGTGGATTTCATTCTGTATGTAGAGGACCCTAACCACAGTATTAAGACACATAACAGCATCACATAAAAACTGAAGCCACAAAACACTCAGCATCAAGATCAACTCAGTTTAACTATTAAGACTACAAGTACTTGGGGGTTACTCATTTGATAGAATGCTTGCCTGTACAAGGTTTCAATCCCTAGAACAGTTTAGACTGGGAATTCTAGTACAAATTCAAAGCAAGCTTGGATTACATAAGAGAATCTAAAACAAATAGGCCAAAAAAAAAAAACCCCTAAATACTATTATGACTTTTGCTTAAATTCTATTCTACTAAAGTCAAAAATCCTAATTTTATACGATTAATAATAAAGTCGCCATGCAGTGGTGGCGCACGCCTTTAATCCCAGCACTTGGAAGGCAGAGGCAGGCGGATTTCTAAGTTCAAGGCCAGCCTGGTCTACAGAGTGAGTTCCAGGACAGCCAGGGCTACACAGAGAAACCCTGTCTTGAAAAACTAATTAATTAATTAATTAATTAATTCAGTAACTAGAAATAACAATAGAGCACTATTAGAGTCACTTGCTTAAGATATTACGCTTTGACTTAAAAAAGCTTACAAAATATTCAGTTCTGTTTTGGTTACAGGTAAATAAGTGTTTAATAAATAAGCATATATTTTATCCATTAGTATTCCTAAAATTCACATTGTATCTATAGGCAACAGTTATACATGAAGGGGAAAAGCTGGCAATAAGGGGCTGAGAACAAGATAAAAGGGAAGTCAGAAAAAAAGTACAGAAGAAAAAGTTAGCCCATGATGAGGTAATGGGAAAGAGGGTTGAGACAAAGTTAACGTAGCTGTAGTTGACAGAAATCCCATCTTTAACATTCTCTAAGCCCACTGTATACAATCCAGTATGTCTGTTGAGTTGGTAACAGAGAGA